GGGTAACTGTGGTCTTATAAAACTAATTGAGAAATGTTCTTTCTGTTCCTATTTTGTGGCATAATTTGAGGAGTGTTGGCATTAACTCCTCTTTAAAAGTTCAGTAAATTCTGCACTGAAACCATCTGGTCCTGTTTTTGTTGTTTTGTTAGTAGACTTTTGACAGTTTCTCTTTCACTAGGAGTTATAGGTCTTTTTAAATTGCTAATCTGATCTTCATTTAACTCTGGTAACTAGTATTAATTGAGAAAAGATTCAATTTCTTTTAGATTCTATGGATTTCCCTGGTGTCTGTTGTTATGTCCCCCTTTTGTCTCTAATTTTTTTAATTTGGATATTAATTTCTGCCTTTTAGCTAATTTTGATAAGGGTTTCTCAGTTTTAATTTTCTCAAGGCACCAACCTATTTCCTTGGTTCTTTTAATTTTGTTCATTATTTTTTGTAATTATTGTTTTTGTGTTTTATTGCTTTTAGCTACAGAGCTGGAGATGAGCTCAGGGTTGGATTGGAGCCTCACAGAGAGAAGTGAAGATCCAGTTAGCCTTTCTGCCTTTCTTTAGAGAAAAACTCAATAGTTCTAAATGAAGTTACTGCCTTGGAGGCCTTTTTAAACCTATAAGCGTTTCCTAAATTTTGTAACCATTTTGGAAAATTGATTTTTCTGCTTTCTTACATGGGCATTCCATAAATGCACAAGAGCATGAAACTTTTGTTATTTGACTAGGGTATAGAATATCATTTCGGGAATACTTTGCACAGCTTTGTGCATATTTCTGTATAAATTTCCACATCTAACAAACAGTTTTAAAAAAGATCTAACTTTGGAAAGTTTGTGAATTGGACAAAAAGAAAAAAGATGTGCTAATGAATGAAAAAGTATTAATTTCAGGTTGAATAAAGTAGTAATTGTAGTGCGACATGGCTAAAAGGCAACACTCAGGAGGATCGGGAAAGAGGTAGCTATGAGTTAGAGTTCAGCCTGAGTTAGAGGCTAGTTTGGGCTATATAATGATTCTGTTTAATATTAATAGCATATGCATCTGTGCATAATAGAAGATAGATAATGCATACACAGAAGGGACAAAAGAAGTACTATGGTATTAAGCTTTGAGAAGAATAAATCTCAGACCAAACTTCAGACATTGTGTTAGCTGAGTGAATTTCTTATACTATTTTTAAAAGGACAGGAAAAAATACAGTAAGTGAGATAAGTAGATTTCACAGTGATGTAACTTGATTTGTTTTCAGATCATGAGTCAAAATCCAGTCAGAAAAATATAAGAGGCACAAATCTTTGTGTTCTCATTTTCCTTGAAGTTTTGATTAGTATATAGAATTAGTTTATTGTATTTTGAGAACCTTGGTTAGGATGTAGGCTTTCTCTCCTCTGGGATAAGTGTTCATTGATCTAATTAATTGCTGGCTTGCATGTAGCAATGCATATTTTCTACCAAAGAAGTTGTCATACTGTTTTCCAGATTGTCTGGGAAAATTTGCTAATTGTTGATGCTGCCAAAATGTCTCCTTAGTATGTACATTTATAACAATGTAGTTGGGCTGCTTTCAGCCTTAGCCAGGGAAGCTTCTTTTTTTAGTACGTCAAAACTTTGAAAATAAGATACTCAGCTGTAAAAAGGCACAAACCTCCTCACCAAGGCTCCGGGAACACAATGGAAAAAGAGGCAAGGAAAAAAAAGTTTTTTTTGAGAGCTGGATAATTGGTAGTTGTGTTGTGAAATCTGCCTTGTGGACATGGTAGAGTTACTGCTCTTCAAATCTCAGAAGTGCTGGGTGGTGGTGGTACACACATTTAATTCCAGCATTGAGGAAGCAAAGGCAGGGAGATCTCTGTGTTGTGTGTTTAAGGCCAGTCTGGTCTACAGAGTGAGTTCCAAGTCAGGCTCCAAAGTTACAGGGAAACCCTTTCTCAAAAAAAGGAACTCAGAAGCTGTGGATGTTGATACAAAATCTGAATAAGATCAAGTAAATTAAAATTTTTGCATTAATGGGAAGGTGATCATAGGCTCCAGACCTTGAGAAATGCTGTGGGAGCAAGAATCATTTTGGGGATTGGCCAATGGTACATTTCCTATGCTTCTTATTTAGAAGAGATGAGAACGGTAAGGAGAAGAGGAAGGAAAGGGGAAGAAGGGGGAAGGAAGTGAAGTATGAGGATTCAGAAGAGAAAGAAGAAGAAGAAGAGAAGAAATAAAGTTAGAGGAAGAAAAGAAAGAATAGAGAAATCTAGAGGAAGTTAGAGGGGAGAGATTAGGAGTGGATATGGTCATTGTATATGTGTATGAAATCTTGAAATATATGTATATATATGTTTTTTGAATTTTGCACATAATGCAGAGACTCTGGAACTTATTTAGAAGAACTTGTTTCACTAGTCTCTAATAACACCCCTTTAACAAGGTAAGTTGGAGCATCACATTGCCATTAACAGATAACAATAGAAAACCACATTCTTTAACTTTTGTCATTTTATACCAAAAAGGGGAGGATCCCTTTGGATGGGGTGAGATTCTATTTCTCTTTCTTCCCTTGATACTACTCTATTGTAAAGGGCATCAATTGTTTCTTAGTGCTGTTTATTTCTCTTCCACAGACACCATAGGATGTCATCTCATTGCCCCTGGACTCTCATAAAGGTCCTCTGGCATCCCTCATGCAAAGCAGAATGCTGCCCCATTAATTTCAGCTCAGGTTGGAAGTCCTGCACCTTTACAAACCCCCACTCAACCTTCCTTCATTACTTCCCAACAGGGGTTAACATATCAGTTGTCACCCAGTCCCCTGGTCCCCATATTGTTACCCATGCTGGGCATTGGGCTCAAAGTGAAGAATAAAAGTGAGACGCCCAGAGAGAAAAGTAAATTTTCATTTTGCAAGTGGCTAGCAATTGGAGAGAGCTTCTGGATCAGGGATGGAAATATGTGCCTGCTTCTTTTTGCTCTGGGGGGCGCACACCCATGGAGGCCCTGTGCATGCTGCTTGGTCTCTGTGAGTTCTCTGTGAGTTCATATGTGCACTTATCATGTTGAGGACCTTGTTTCTTGGTGTTATCCATACCCTCTGGCTTGCATGCACTTTATACCTCCTTTTCAGCAAGTCTCCTTGACCTCTGAGGGGAGGGATTTGATAGAGACATCCAATTTAGGGCTGCTCTCATTTTCTACATATCACCTGGTTGTAGGTCTCTTTATTCCTATCTGCTACAAGAGCAAGCATCTCTGATGATGGCTGAGAAAGGAAGTGATCTATAAGTATGAAAATATGTCACTAGGAGTCATTTTATGTCAATGTACTTTTAGTAGAACAGTAATATTTGGGTTTACTCTAGGTCCCTGGTTTGGGGGAGGGATATACTTTCAATAAAAGAAAGATTGGAAAAATATTTATGTATTTATAGGTACATGCTTTAATATATAAAGTCACAACATCTCTTAGTGTATTTCTAATTTCCTAAAATTTAGTTGCAGGATTGAATACTGTTGGCAAAGTTCTCTAAAACGATCAATCTTTCTCATCTTTTTTATCAGGAGAAATGTATGTGACAAGAAAAAGTCTTTGCATTATCAGCGTGAACTAAGTGAACATTCCCACGGTTTGTTCAGTGAATGCTTATTGCTGTTGTGTGACAAGGTAAAAGCCTTCCAGCATGCAGCCCCAGGGGATGATGGGGAACAGTGTACTGAGACTCACAAAGAATACCAAAACGTAAATACTGAGATTGCTCCTAGGAATTATATGCATTCCAGATGGGAATATAACTTTAATGCATGCAATGTTCTTCTAGCAAAGAGAATATTGCATCATAAAGAGAATGGATGTTCATCATTAACAGTATTTGATCCATAGTATTAAAAAAAGTTAACTGCAAGAAGAGCAGTCCCTCAGACAGGCTCTGGTGTTTAATATAAGAAGGAGAAAAGGCATCATCTGTCTAAAGTTCATATTTTGTGTTACATTTACTTGAGGCCAAGACTCTGAATGAAAAATATGTGAACAGTCAATCATGTGGTTATTTCTAATTATCTGTTTTGACTTTATGTAAGCAATGCCTTGAGTTTAACATCAATTTTGGTATGCAAGGTCCCATACATCAAAATGTACTGACACATTAACGAGGAAACAAAAATGGAAATGGGAATGGTAACAGTCAAAGTGCTCAAATATTTTCTAAAAATACGACTCAGGATCCAGCTATGGTTAAAGATTGCACATGCTTTGGAATACACAGAACGATGAAGTTGTTCTCATGCTTTTCGACCATCTGTTTGCAGTCACAAATCTAATGACGAGAAAAATTCCCATCATGACCTTTAAGATTAATTGATCTGTGTCTCTTTTTGTGGGCATTTGAAATTTCAGGATCACTAGTGATATAATTTAAGGACGATGTACGATCTTTAAGTTTAGATACAAATAGGTAGCAATGCTAAAAAGAAAAGTAACATCTGTGTCCTACAAATCAAAACCAGTCTTAAGACCCTCCAGTTAAATGTTGACTTGTTTGGAAACTGTCCCATCTAAGGAGTCAAACAGCTTTTAATAAACACAAATATCCACAGACACCTGGAACCATGTGGAAGTCAATGATCCTACTCAGGGTTAAGGGCAAGGAATCTACTTTTACAGTGGTATAGGTAACTGCAGACTCACAGTTTAGAAAAAGAGACATGGAAGGCCTTGCTGTGACAATCCCTATCATCTTCCAAAAAAAAAGTAAAGAAAAGAAAAGAAAAAGAAAAACATCCTAGACAGAAAACCATCTTGGAGAACTTTTTGATAATGATGCTGATCTGCAGCTTTCCATGATTTACGGTTTCTGGGGGGTATGGGTGGGAAAGCATTCAGTTTTCTTTAAGGGGAATGCCACTGAGAGTTTTACCATTCTTCAGTGAGTAGTATATAGCTAACACAAATTGAATTCTTCTCTCTTCTTCTTTCCCTTCCCCTTCCCCCTCCCCTTCTTCTTCCCCTTCCCCTTCCCCTTCCTCCTCCTCCTCCTCCTTCTTCTTCTTCTTCTCCTTCTCTTCCTCCTTCTCCTTCTCCTTCTTCTATCTTCCTCTTCTTCCTTTTTTGGGGGGTGGGTGTCACAAGGGTTGGATGGCAAACTAGGAGGAATGGGAAGTAAATGTGACTAGGGTGCATGATGTGCGATTCCCAAATAATCAATAAAATATTTTGTTGGAAAAATAAACAAAAATATCAAATCTCTTCTAAAAAATCACTAACATTTTCTCAAATACTTTAATTGCCTAGGGAATCCTTAATCTCAAGCTTTATCTTCTGCATGAATACTTTATTTGTAGATCCTGACTAACAAGAGACCCTGGGAGAGTATTATATTATAAGAGCCATGCTATTATATGGCTCTTCAGTTTTCAGGGTTTTCTTTTATCTATCTCTGTGCTCTCATGACTTCTTTTATGGAAACACCATGCCCAAAGTAAGACTATCCACTCAATTGCTTTTTCAATTTCTTTGAAGTATAAAACTGATGACATATTCTGAAGAAACTGTTCTTGAGACATGATGTACTCATGGGCAAGGCTTCACCCAAAATTATGCTCTGGAGTTGGATGAGACAATGAGTACTGCAGAATTGAAACTGAGGTTTGGAACTTCAAGTCCTTGCTATGGTAAGCCAAAAGATGCTGATTGCTCCTTATAGAGTTAACCACGAGTTAGGTCACTCTTTCAGCTCAAGGCAGTTCCTAGAGAAGAGATGAACAGTATGTCATGAGTAATTAAACATTTTTGTAATTTCTGATGGGCAGGGGGCTTTGGTCATAGAAGAGACATGAGAACAATTGTGACCATCATGCTTATCAATAAATATCTATTTCTTCATGTAGGAATATAGTTTTATGTTAAATAATTAGTATTATATATTAATTATTTATATAAACCTTCTTTAAATAAAATTTTCTAAACAACCTTCATCTAGTCATTACACTTAAGAGGGTATCTAGTTCTCTTGAGTATACACACACACACAAAGAGTTGGAAAAAGATTGTAAGAAACAAAAGTATGCTTGGAGCAATTGAAATGACTCATTGAGTAATGACACCTGCTGCAGAGACTGACAACCTGAGTTTGAACACTGGAACCTACACAGAAGTACAGATGTGATTCATCTCCACAAGCACACCATGACATGCCACCCTCAACCTTTCCCCCAAAACTAATGGTTCATCAAAGAATAGGGAAAAGATTATAAGGGCCATAAAATAGGAAGAGTTGTAGCAAGGCAGTACCTTCTGCAAATGCTGGAACCATTGCACACTTGAACTCCCCAAGAGATATGGTTGCCTGCATAAAACCTGCACAAGATAAATGCAGTCAAAATTCCGGAAAGGGCAGGTGATGTTTAACCATGTGTCTTGTTGAATATTGCTATTAATGTTGCTATCAATATAAATAAGATTATTAAATTCTTACCTTGATCTAAGTATTCCTGTGTTTTAAATTACTAATTCACATTATTTTCACAATTTACCCATGTTTGTTTATTTATGTTTTAAACTGAGAAGTTGCTGTGTCACCATGTAGCCAAGACTGGCAATCCTCCTGTGTGTCTTCACAACCAACTTCATGAATACTGTATAAAGCAAACATAAAACATTAGTCACTAATTTTTAGATGAAAATGTGGAATGTGGGAAGGTTAAGTCATTTCCAACAGGTCACACAGCTGGAATTAAGGAAAGCACAACTCTAACCCAGGCAGAATTATTGCTATACTTGAACTCAAAACAAATTATGCATGTAAATTAAAAAATAGTAATCACATATCAAATGCAGTTAATGGACTGAGAGTGTTACATTGCTATATTGAAATGACTATCTGTAAAATTTAATGTAATTGGACAAGTATGTATTTGCATTAATAAAGTTTGAGAATAATGGGTGAGAGCTTAGGAATGTTTATTTTCTTTTTTTCTTTACAAACAATCATTTTACATTTCAATCTCTCCATTCCCTCTCCCTCCCATCCTCCCATCCCATCCCCCACCCGCTCCCCAAGGACAGTGAGACCTTCAGTATGGGATCAACAAAGTCCGTCACATCATTTGAGGAGAGGGTCTAGGCCCTGTGTGTCTGGGCTGAAATGGTATCCCTTCATAGAGAGTGGGCTCCCAAAGTACATTTGCGCACTAGGGATAAATACTGGTTCCACTGACAGATGTCCCATAGTCTTCCCAGGACTCTTACTGGCACCCATATTCAGAGGGTTTGGTTCAGTCCAATGCTGGTTCCTCAGCTTTATGACTGGGGTTCCTGTGATCTCACTAGGTCACGTCAACTGATTCTGTAGGTTTCTCCCATACAGTCTTGACTGCTTTGCTCATCCCTCCTCCTTCTCTACAATTGGATTCCAAGAGTGTGACTCAGTACTTAGCTGTGGGTACCTGATTCTCCTTCCATCAGCTACTGCATGAAGGTTGTTCAGAGGGCCTGGTTTGGTCCTATGTTGATTTCCCAGCTGTCAGATTGGGGTCTATGAGTTACCACTTTCTCAGGTCAGCTGTTTCTGCAATTTCCCAGCATGGTATTGACCCCATTGTTTGTCACTCATCCCTCTCTGAAAATGGAGTCCAGGAGTTCAGCTCAGTGCTTAGCTGTGAATACCTGCTTCTGCTTCCATCAACTACTGGATGAAGGCTCTAGGATTGCATTTAAGGTAGTCATCATTCTCATTATAGGGGAAGGACATTTAAGGCAGCCTCTCTACTATTGCTTAGGTTCCTAGTTGGGGTCATTCTTGTGGATCTCTGTACAATTACCTAGTGCCAGGCTTCTCTTTAAACCTATAGTGGCTTCCTATTCATGTGTCACTTTTCTTGTTCTCTTCTTCTTTTTCTCTTCCTTTTTTTATTTAAGTTATAAACAAGTTTGTTTCACATGTCAATTCCAGCTCCTTCCCTCCCATCCTCTCCATCCCTCCCCACCAAGCCCCCCAGTTCCCCACCCTATCTCCACTCTGATCCCACCCCCAGGGAGGGTGAGGCCCTCTATGGTGGATCTCCAGAGTCTGTCATTTCATCCAGGGCAGGGCCTAGGCCTTCCCCCAAGAGTCCAGGCTAAGAGAGCATTCCCCATTGTGGCATAGGCACTCAAAGTCTATTTGTATGCCAGGGATAAATACAACCCAAGGCCTCATAGATTACCTAGGCCTCCTCACTGATACCCACATTCAGGGGGTCTGGGTCAGTCCCATGCTTTCCACATAGCCATCAATCTGGAGGTCCAAGAGCTCCCCCCTTGTTCACATAAGCTGTTTCTGTGGGTTATACCAGCGCAGTCTTAGCTCCTTTGCTCATTAGTTCTCCCTTTCTGTCACAGGATTCCATGAGTTCAGCTCAGTGTTTACCTGTGGGTATCTGCCTCTGCTTCATCAGTTACTGGATGAAGGTTCCGTTTCCCAGATTCTCTGGAAGTGGGATTGCAGGATGGCATTCCCCTGATTCATATCTAAAATCCACAAATGAGTCAGTACAAGCCATGTTTCTGTTTTTGTGACTGGGTTACCTCATTCAGGATGGTTTCTTATAGTGCCATTCATTTGCTTGCAAATTTCAAGATTCCATTGTTTTCTTTTTTGCTGAATAATATTCCATTGAGTAAATGAACCACATTTTCTCTATCCACTCTTCCGCTGAAGGGTATCTAGGTTGCTTCCAGGTTCTGGCTATTGCAAATGATGCTGTTATTAACATAGTGGAACAGACATCCTTGTATGAATGTGCATTTTTTGGGTGTATGCCTAAGAGTGGAATTGCTGAGTCTTGTGGTAGACTGATTCCCATTTTCCTGAGGAATCTCCATCCTGATTTCCAAAGTGGCTGAACAAGTCGGTACTCCCTCCAGCAGTGTAGTAGTGTTCCTCTTTCTCCACATCCTCCCCAGCATAAACTGTCATTGATGTTTTTGATTTTAGCTATTCTGACAGGAGTAAGATGGTATCTCAGAGTTGTTATGATTTGCATTTCCCAGATGGCTAGGGATATTGAGCTCTTTCTCAGGTGTTTCTCAGCCATTTTAGATTCCTCTACTGAGAATTCTCTATTTAGTTCTGTGCTCCAATTTTCCTTTGGATCCTTTGGTGTTTTGGATTCTTGCTTATTGAGTTCTTTGTAAATTTTGGAGATCAGCTCCCTGTCAGATGAGGGGTTAGTGAATATATTTCCCCAGTCTGTGGGTTGCCTTTTTGTCTTGATGACTGTGTCCTTTGCTTTACAGAAGCTTCTCAGTTTCAGCAGGTCTCATTTATTAAATGTCTATCTTAGTGTCTCTGCTACTGGAGTCATGTTCAGGAAGCAGTCTCGTGTACCAATTCGCTTAAGGGTACATCCCACTTTCTCTTCTAACAGGTTCAGTGTGGCTAGATTTATGTTGAGGTCTTTGATTCACTTGGATTTAAGTTTTGTGCATGGTGATAGACATGGATCTATCTGAAGTCTTCTACATATCAGCCTCCAGTTATGCCAGCACCATTTGTTGAAGATGCTTTCTTTTTTCCATTGTATAATTTTAGCTTTTTTTTCAAAGATCAGGTTTTCATACGTGTATGGATTAATGTTGGGGTGTTCAATTGGATTCCATTGGTCTATCTGTCTATTTTTGTGCCAGTACCGAGCTGTTTTCAGGACTATAGCTCTGTAATACAGCTTGAAGTCAGCTGTGATGCCTCTGGAAGTTTCCTTGTTGAACAGGGTTGTTTTGGCTATCCTGGGTCTTTTGTTTTTCCATATAAAGTTGAGAATTGTTCTTTCAAGGTCTGTGAAGAATTGTGCTGGGATTTTAATGGGGATTGTGTTAAATCTGTAGATTGCTTTCAGTAAGATTGCTATTTGTACTAAGAAATTAAAGACTTCCTAGAATTCAATGAGAATGAAGACACAGCATACCCAAACTTATGGGACACTTTGAAAGCAGTGCTATGAGAGAAGTTCATGACACTATGTGCCCACATGAAGAAACTGCAGAATAGTTACACTAGAGAATTAACAGCACACCTGAAATCTCTAGAACACAAAGAAACAAACTCACCCAGGAAATAATCAAATTGAGGGCCAAAATCAATAAAGTAGAAACTAGGAAAATAATACAAAGAATCATGAAGGGTTCATAATTTGAGAAAATCAACAAGATAGACAAACCTTTATCCAAACTTAGGAAGCGTTAGAGTATGAACATGCAGATTAACAAAATCAGAAATGAAAAGGGGGACATAATAACGGACACTGAGGAAAGCCAGAGAATCATCAAGTCATTTTTTGAAAACCTGTATGCCACAAAATCTAAAGGAAATGGACAATTTTCTGGATAGATATCACTTGCCAAAATTAAATCAAGAACAGATAAGCAATTTAAATAGACCTATAACCCCTATGGAAATAGACGCAGTCATCAAAAGTCTCCCAACTAAAAAAAGCCCAGGCTCAGATGGCCTCAGTGCAAATTCTACCAGAAATTAAACAACAGCTTATACCAATTTTTCTTAAAGTAGTCCATACAATAGAATCAGTAGGGTCTTTTCCTAACTCTTTCTATGAGGCTTAAATTACCTTGATACCCAAGCCACACAAAGACACAACTAAGAAAGAGAACTTCTGACCAATATCCCTCATGAACATTGATGCAAAAATACTCAATAAAGTACTGGCAAATCGGATCCAATATCACATCTTGTTATCTCAATCTTCCCCAATCAATCTTCCTAATCCCTCATGTTCTCCTCCCCCTTCTCTTCTCCCTTCCTCTTTCTCCTACCTCCCTCCCATCTCCCATCATGCTCCCAATTTGTTCAGGGGTCCTTGTCTTGTCTGATTCCCTGCGGGACTGCGTAGGTCTCTCTTATGGTCCTCCTTGATTCCTTGCTCCTCTGGATGTGTGAATTGTAGGCTGGTAATCCTTTGCTCTATGTCTAATATCCATAAATGAGTAAGTACATACCATGGTTGTCCTTATGTGACTGGGTTACCTCACTTAGGATGGTTTCTTCTAGTTCTATCTATTAGCCTGCAAATTTCAATATTTCATTGCTTTTTTCACTGAGTAGTACGCCATTGTGTAAATGTACCATATTTTCTGTATTTATTCTTTGATTGAGTGGCATCTAGGTTGCTTTCAAGTTCTGACTATTACAAATAATGCTCCTATGAACATAGTAAACAGATGTCCTTGTTGTAAGAATGTGCATCATTTGGGTACATGCCTAAGTGTGGAATTGCTTGATCTTGAGGTAGACAGGTTCCCAATTTCCAGAGTAACTGTCATACTGATTTGCAAAGTGGCTGTACAAGTTGGCACTGCCACCAGTAATGGAGAAGTGCTCCCCTTTCTCCACGTCCTCTCCAGCATAAACTGTTGTTGGTGTTTTTTATTTTAGTCATTCTGTCAGGTGTAAGATGGTATGTCAGAGTTGTTTGAATTTGCATTTCCTTGATGGCTAAGGGCATTGAGCAATTTATTATGTGTTTCTCAGCCTCTATTGAGAATTCTCAGTTTAGTTTTCTAACCCACTTTTTAATTGAATTATTTGGTGTTTTGGAGACTTGCTTCTAGGGTTGTTTGTGTATTTTGGAGATCAG